CACCAGGCCTGTTGCACGAGCAATATTGACTCGACGTCTCTTAAATTTATATAAAAATGTTCCTAAAACCAAAAAAACACCGGACCAATTTGCTGGGAGTAGATTGATTCGATTCGAACAAATAAATAAGGATAGTCCACAGGGATACCTCACCGCACTGTACGTCTGGTTCTGGATATTTGTAGAGGTATCTAATAACCAAGCAGATCCAATACTTCGAGATTAGCAATTTTACGATTATGGAGAATAAAGAGCACTTATTGATCCTGTGTCATCATTGCAAGCAAAGTCATGGCAGAGTTTTGAAAAATTTTTTTCTTTATTTCGTTGTTTAAAGTCAGCTGTAATTGAAGAAGATGAGCTAACGACGATCTCAGAGGTTCATGCGGGAGCACGTTTAAATGGCGACATCCAATTTAAAAAGCACAATCTGCAACTTGAGATCGCTAAAAACCAAACAGACACAAAATCTGAAAATCTCACTGCAAGAGAATGGAATGTTGATTGCTATCATTCTACTGTTGATGTCCGGAGATTTAAATATTGTATTATTAACGCTCCATCTTCGTCATCTGGAGATGCATTCCTTTTATTAGATCAGCCGGGTACCAAGAGTCCAAATGAAATTCCCCAATTTAAACAGAGACAAAACCTGATCAGTCAAATAGTATACGAAGAAGAACGTAAAAAATCTGCATCAAAAAATGATTTTTTTATCCTCTTTACGACTGCAGAAAATTGCAATGTCGAACTTCCGAAACACTCTGGGATTATAGATGGAAAAGTTTTTAGGGACTATTTTGGACCATTTGCTGGCAGAGCATACAAGTCCATTATAGCCAAGTCCATGCCCCCTATCCGTGATAAGGTCATGAATATCCATATCACTTCTCACGAGAAACTTGGCAGAGTAAATCAAACTAATAAAGAACGAACAAAACCGATCTTATTAATAAGACCATTTGAAAAAATCGCGGTCGCAAATGTAAAAACCAAAACTACCAATGAATTTTTATTTCAGAAAGGGCCTTCGCACGGTTTCTCATATTCTCTCTCGATTCATTTAATTAAATAAGTAAAGTCAAAAATGCCAACATTTCATTGTTTTAAAAGGCATAATTTTTTTCATGGCAAAATTCCATTTCAGAACGTGCACGTGATTTTTACTACCTATTCGAAGTTTTAAATAAATGTGTTTTATATAAATCAATAGAAAACACTAAATCAAAAATTGATGAGTTGAAAACTCGAGACTCTGTCTCCTCGTTGCAAGAATTAAATTCTCAACTCATTGCTGCGATTGCTGAGCTTAGAAAGGAGAATGCCAAGATTCCCGAACTTGAAAAGAAATTTGAAGATTAAATCTGAAAATGTGAAGCTAAAGCTGATTATTGAAGAGAATATAAAGCGGGATGTTAGAGTCGAGGAATTAGAGCAAAAGAATAAAGAGCTTGAGGCTAGGCTTGCAGTAGTGGAACATAGTTTTGTGTCAGTGGATGGACAACCACAAAATGACTTACGGAGTAAGGATGCTAACGCATTTAAGGAAGTGATACCAAAGGTAGTGTCGGCTGTTATCGTATCCGATTCTCAAGTAGTTTGACTCAACATTATAAGCCTGATTTTAATATAAATGATACGGTTCTTTCTGCCGATTCCAAGATATTGGAAGATAAGGAGATCGATAAATTCTTGAGTGTGGTGCATAATAAAAGGGTTAGCGATGAGATCAGGTGGAGAAAGCATGAGGAGAAGCTTCGAGATCAAGACCTATCTTCAGTTAGCCATAAAAAAAAGGGAACAGATGAACTCTGGCAGAAATTGTTCAATACTTCTTTGGAGTCAAGTTCTACATCAAAAAAATATTAAACCTGGACATATTATGGGAATATATGGGGGTTGATGGTTATGTAAAGTGTATTGTTAATTCATTTGACATTAATGAGGTATCACAATATTTAGCTCCGTTATGTGATACAGCCATAGACGCCGAAGATCGAGCTTCAAAAGCTAATCAGGAAGAAATTATGTGTTGGTCTCTTTATGATAGGAATTTTGAATTTTAAGTTGATAAGATGAGTAGTAAGAATTAAAATTGAAGGAAAAAAAGCAAGAACCTTAATTTATAATGAAATTGAAAATCAACTCTCTATTCTTCATAAAAAATGATCACAAGATTTAGGTTTACTACTTCCAAAAATATCACGAGATACCTTACTCAACGAGCTGTAAAATTTATAAGTTATTTGAAAAGATAGGTCTAGATAAAATTAAACATCAATAACTATAGTGCAAATTAAATCTCAGAACTTATTAACGATCAAATTCAAGCAATTATTAATTATGGTTCAGAGAGCCGAATCTCTAATTCTCCTTCGCTCGAATTTCTGGGATGGAGCTGTCTCGAAAAGATCTTATCTGAAAAATAGAATAATCTAATTCATGACTTTGTTTATTTCCGCAACAAAATATTGGAGTGATATTCTGATCTATAT